AACCCATGACCAGCAACAACAGCAGCTGCACTGCTATGATGATGGAAAAGAGGAAGTTTCCGAGACGTCAGCACAAGTACAACTTGGTCCAAGGACTCGCCCTCTCTCCCCATTCCTCATCTGCCTCTGGATTATAACGCTATAATATATGTAGCATAAGCGAGGCAAAATATGCGTAAATGCATTTCTTATTTCATTTCGTAAGCGCTGTTTTATGTGTCATGTGCAGTAAGTCGCACTAGATACCGGCATTCTGCTTGTACCAAATTCACCAACATAATTTTAAAACTGACCAACCAACGCGTTTTGGTTCCTACTAATCGTTTCCCAGCTAAATCCATACCTATAGAAGATTCAGGAAAAACGTACGCCGCATTTGCCGATCTGACCTGAGTAAAGGATTGCTACAAAGTCGTTATTCAATCGACGTTTTGAATGTTTCAAGCTGGGAGGTAAGCCTGAAGAAGACTACATTGGTTTGGCCGGTCGAGTTAATGACACTTTTCAGCAATCCGAGTCAGAGCAGGCCACCGGCGCACAGATTAAAGCACTATCTTTCATTTAGTCGTTGGCATTGCCAGAAGATGCACATGTGCGTACGCGGTGTGTCGTCCAGCTAGACCAGAAAGGTGATGTGGCAGTACAGGAACTGGCAAAAGAATGTGTCCGAATCACAAATATCAAGCAAGACACCCAACGTATTTGAAGCTCGAGTACTCAGCCTGCTTAAGTCTTCGATAGCAGGACGAGAAAACCAGGACAGAATAGTTTTCACGGAAGCCGAACACGGCGTGCTGGCAGTGCGGCGGTCGGCACTACGTAAGTGAATGCCCCTATCGTAGTAGGAAGTGCAACAAATGTCCCCGTGTTGGCCATATGGCTTAACACTGTAGAGCAGCGCAGGCTAGCCCAAGAAAGAATTGGCAGGTCGTTTTAGAAGACGATTCCCTAGTACTAAATTGTGAACACCGAAAATACTTGCCAGTGAATATTAACGGGCAACCGACCACACTGCAGGCAGACACAGCTGTTCATCTGAGCATAATCACCATGCGCACGTAGGACGATATCGGTCCTTCAGAACCGAGACCATCATAGGTCATAGCATGGGCGTCTAACGAGACGCGTATAGAATTGGAAGACGTTTTTCAGGCGACTGCCAGTTTTCGAAATAAGACTTGCCTTTCATCTGTCGATGTGTCGAAGACTCGTAACAATCTTCCCGGAAATAAGACGACATCCGAACTGGGATTGTGGAACCGTCCCTTCGACGACATTTGCAGAGCGGTGCACAACACTACTTAAGAGGTCCTGAGGAAGAAGTGTATGGAATGGATGGAGAACGCGGACGGCAGGTGCACGAAGATGAAGGTAAGTTTGAAAGTGAAGCCGGAGAAAAAGCCAGTTTTCAAACGAAGCCGATGGATCCCCTTTGCAGTACAGTCGACCGTAGAAGCTGAACTGGAGAGGCTACAGGCAAATGGCATAATCTATTCTACCAACTATTCAGCTTGGGCTGCTTCAGTCGTGGCGGTAAAGAAAACTAACGGAAAAGTACGATTGTGTGCGGATTATTCCAGGCGCATGATCGATGCACTAGAAGATTATCATTACCCGCTACCAACCTTAGGCCAGATATTTGTTACTCTAAATAGAAGGAAGGTCTTTACAAGAAGGGATCTATCCGAGGCTTATTTACAAATTGAGATGGACGAGAAATCGCAGGAACTTTTGGCCATCAATAAGCACAAAGGTTTCTTCAGATACGCTTGCCTAAACTCTGGCGTAAAAAAGGGCGCCCAGTGTGTTCCAGAAGATCATGGATACGATGCTTACGAATGTCCCGGGAACTATAGCATATATGGACGATATTTTGGTTGTTGGTAGCTCAGAGGAAGAGCTGAGACGAAGGCTAGACCACGTTGTGCACAATTTGATCGACTATGGGCTTAAGATCAATATGGAGAAAGGGGAATTTTTGCGGAGGTCGATTTACTATCTCGAGTTCATAGTTAACGAGGATGGGCTTGCACCTGATTTAGAAACAGTGAGGCATCCCAGAATGCGAAAGTACCGGAGAACAAGAAGGAGCTACAATCGGTTATGGGGTTGGTCAGCTACTACGGCCCCTTCATCACTAGGCTGCACAGTTTGAAACCTCCACTCAGCCAACCTCTGGGCAAGGACGTGGATTTTTTTGATCTTCCGAATGTCAAAACGCTTTTGGTGAGATAAAGGCAAAGATATGCGACTCGACTATGCTATCGCTATTTAAGGCTGACAAAGAAACCATTGTCCAAGCAGACGCCTCTGATTACGGATTAGGCGGAGTGCTCCTCCGGAAGGATGCACATGGGAGAATCCAACCAATCATGCATGCCGCCGGGTCAGCGACGAAGGCGGAACGGAATTATAGCCAGACCGCAAAGGAGGGACTAGACATTATTTTCGCCATGCAGAGATTTCACCTGTTCATTTATGGCAGACCCTTCACACTGCATACAGGTCACCAACCGCTGGAGTTTCTTTTGGGTACTAACCATGGTGTTCCCCAGAACGTAGCTAGGAGAATACAGTGCCGATGTACGAGCCTTCAAAACTATGACTTTGCGGTTCATTATGTGCCCACGCAGAAGTTTGGAGCTCCGGACACCTTATCCCGACTAAGCGCAAGCGATGAAAATCATGAAGACGTGATGGTCGCTCCCTTTCTGTTCCACCTTCCCTTCGGGTCATAACAAGGATGCAATGCAGGCATCCCATCTTGCCTTCAGATTTCGGTTCAAAATCCTTAAGAGTGGCAACTAGTGGAGAGGCAATAGCCAATCGAGATGCGCTACTGCCAATGAAGACAGATAAAATAAACATGAATCGTCCGGTCTCACGTCTCTGTTACGAATCTGTACAGCATAAATCCGATGGCGTATTGAGCCAGGATGTAGGAGAACAGCATTATCGACAAAGAAAAGGGAGACTGGAATGGTCATTTCTGGCTTATTGTTCGTCGTCAGCCAGTCATACCCAGTGCCGAGGTGTGGAACACCTGGGACTCGATCCTACGACCTGTTAGTTAGAATTCCAACGCTCCTACTCACCAAGCCAGGTGCTCGTTGTCCTGTCGGTTGTAATTGAGAATTTCCAATGGTAAAGGGGCGCTCACCGACGAGTGAGTTCCGTAATGCTCCTCACTTGAGACAGACAGATTCCGTTGCCCCTAAACACTTAAAGGCAGGTATCTCGTCCTCACTCAATGTACTTGAGTGAGAGTGTCGACAATTTTTTGTCTGTATTCAACAGTCTTGCCAGTTATCCTCTGAGATTCCTGTCCCCACAGAATTGTAACGGCGCTGCCGAGAACCGGCAGAGGACTTGAGCAACGGTCAACATATCCGCCTGAACCACATCCACATGTCCGTCAGCTGTAAACCTCTCTGTAATCTTCTGTAAATCGACGCCTGCTCAGTGAACTATTTCCCAGTCCTTTACAGTTTATTGGATAACTTCCACATTCGAGAAAATTTCCCTCGACTCGTTATGAACTTGAACAGAGAAGTTAGGAACGGGTGCACAGGACTCGTTAGTCTGCCAAAACCTTGTCTCTATTAACAGGGACTGTTTTCTCAGGCAAAAAACTGAACACAAGAGAATTCAAGCGCACTTATACACTTAAGACGTAACCTGTGAAAGACCAGCTTAGTAAAGAAATGGAACACTATATTCAAGGGGAAAAACAAAGAGAAGTTATCCAAACAACATTAATTCTATTAAGTTTTCTGATACCAGAAATGAAATACTTCACACGTACTTCCTTACTCTTATTCTTGTCCTTCATACGTTAAAGCTCTTATAGTTCATTTAACAGCCCGTGGTACCTAATGCCCCATTTAATAGGCAATAAAACGGGAAACAGGAGAACAGCCAACGTGCGTTCAGTCGGTTACTCGGATCTCTTCTGTCTCAGCAAAGACGACCTGTGGGAGGCACTCACAGAATACCCCGAAGCAAAGGATAAACTTATGCAAGTGGGTCAGGAAATGCTGCGCAAGGACAATT